CAATCTGTGTTATTACACATTTCTCAGCTTGTTACATTGTTTAGTCTGTCTTGACACCTTTCACAGCTTGTTAAATTGTTTAGTCTGTGTTATTACACATTTCTAAGGTTTTTACATCGTTCAATCTGTGTTATTACACATTTCTCAGCTTGTTACATTGTTTAGTCTGTCTTGACACCTTTCACAGCTTGTTAAATTGTTTAGTCTGTGTTATTACACATTTCTAAGGTTGTTACATCGTTCAATCTGTGTTATTACACATTTCACAGCTTGTTAAATTGTTTAGTCTGTGTTATTACACGTTTCTAAGGTTGTTACATCGTTCAATCTGTGTTATTACACATTTTACAGCTTGTTACATTGTTTAGTCTGTCTTGACACCTTTCTCAGCTTGTTACATTGTTAAAAAATATAATAATCTTGTTTTTTAACACTGCAATGTCTTATGACAAGTGTAATTAATTATAATCATGCTTAGAAAAACGTGTTCACACCATAACAATTGTTATTCTAATAAATGACTTGTGTAGATATTGTTTCTTGTGTTGTAGCTGGCCTAATGAGGTCTATATTAAATATGTCATCAGCAATGGATATGGTGTGAATATAGTGTGCTTGAAATACTATTATACATTCTTCTAATTCATGAAAAGCCCAAAAGGACTAAATAAAGAATGAAGTGTTAAAACATGTAATAGGCCTAATGCTAGTGTCTTACGACAAGTAAATAAAGAATGAAGTGTTAAAACATGTAATAGGCCTAATGCTAGTGTCTTATGACAAGTAAATAAAGAATGAAGTGTTAAAACATGTAATAGGCCTAATGCTAGTGTCTTATGACAAGTAAATAAAGAATGAAGTGTTAAAACATGTAATAGGCCTAATGCTAGTGTCTTATGACAAGTAAATAAAGAATGAAGTGTTAAAACATGTAATAGGCCTAATGCTAGTGTCTTACGACAAGTAAATAAAGAATGAAGTGTTAAAACATGTAATAGGCCTAATGCTAGTGTCTTATGACGAGTAAATAAAGAATGAAGTGTTAAAACATGTAATAGGCCTAATGCTAGTGTCTTATGACAAGTAAATAAAGAATGAAGTGTTAAAACATGTAATAGGCCTAATGCTAGTGTCTTATGACAAGTAAATAAAGAATGAAGTGTTAAAACATGTAATAGGCCTAATGCTAGTGTCTTATGACAAGTAAATAAAGAATGAAGTGTTAAAACATGTAATAGGCCTAATGCTAGTGTCTTACGACAAGTATAATGAATGAAAATTCTTTATTGGACACCGAGAGAAATTTCAAGAATAATGTAGAGTAAAAAATAAATATCACCGTGACATTAGAAAATAGATTGGTAGCTGCAATGAAATAGTTATATATTACTCTATAACAGTACAGAACATTTATCATTTATAATTTTTTGTGTCCAAATCTAGACATTGCGTGTTGGTTGGGAGCAACTATTAACTTCCATTCACCGAAACATCAATGAAGTGGAGAATCAGGCAAGTGTTGATGAATTAAAACGAAGCTTTGGTAACAGAATCATGTGACTTGTAGGAAACAATAGAGTGATTTCTGACGATTTAGTTATGTAGTGAATATTCTGTTTCTGTTAAAGTTAACTCGTTTGATTGGCTAACTCACGGTTCTAAAAAACATGGCCAATGTTTTAAAATTAAAAACTTGGAGTTCCTAAAGTGATAAATAAGTTCATTGTTTAATGAGCAAAGTCCTTGAAGTATGTAATGTAACAGTTCAGTTGTATTTGTAATACTTAATCTTTAATGAAAGAGTTGAAGTGTCTGTCTCAAATTTTTATACTTTAGCATATCATAGCATAACCAGGGTCTGTTGGCTGACAACGTGTGTTTTAGTGCTCTTTTTTATGTGTGACTACTCATATATTGTAACATTTTCTTTAAGTTAATTCCGAGTACTACTGGATTATTTCTAAACTTTGTTGTTTACATGACAGGATAGTTAAGTAATAGAACTGGAAGTTCTCCTTAAGTGTCCAAATCAATAAACTTATATTTTATTGAACATCACACAAGCTTTAAAATCATGTTGTTTGCTTTCCAATGTGTGTTATCACCACACTAGTTTTAAAATCATATTGTTTACTTTCCAAAGTGTGTTGTCACCACACTAGTTTTAAAATCATATTGTTGACTTTCCAAAGTGTGTTCTCACCACACTAGTTTTAAAATCATATTGTTGACTTTCCAAAGTGTGTTCTCACCACACTAGTTTTAAAATCATATTGTTGACTTTCCAAAGTGTGTTGTCACCACATTAACTTTAAAATCATATTGTTGACTTTCCAAAGTGTGTTATCACCACACTAGTTTTAAAATCATGTTGTTGACTTTCCAAAGTGTGTTGTCACCACGCTAGTTTTAAAATCATATTGTTGACTTTCCAAAGTGT